GAAAGAAAAGGAGAGAGAGAAAAAAAGAGAAGTCGAATTACTTTCTTCGTGCGTGAGAAAAGTATCAAGGCAGCGTTTCTTATTTTTTTTTTTTTATTCAGCACCTACCTGGGATTATTATATCCCATTCCGCACCCCAGCGGTTAAGACAGAAAACTTGAACTGCTAGATCAAATTTTCCTCTGCTATTTAATGAACTTTTCGAGTAATTAATACAAATTTTTATAAAATATAATAAAATGTTAACTCAGATCATTACAACCTGCAATGAGTCTTTTGTATTTGCTTCTTCTCAATTGTGTTTGAATTTCATTTATTTTAATAACTTTGAAACTTTTCCTATGTACTAATGAATTGAATGTGCTTCAGTCTCTTAGCATTTGTTTTCATTAAATTTTCACAATCTTCACTTTTCTTTTGAATAACCCGATATATATATATATATTCATACACGTTTCATTAAATAATATAGACAAGTGTTGTCTATTTATTTTATGTAAATTTTTTTCGTAACATCTGATAAGTTTAATTCAAGAAATTCACAATATTGATCCATATATATATATATATATATATATATATATATATATATATATATATATGTAAGCAAATATATGGATATAGATCCGACAGTATGAAGAAAAAATATACGGAAAAAACAAACAAAAATCCTAATATGCAATTATGCTGTTTTAATGTTAATATAATGTTAACGTCGGACGTTTCGGTCTAGTAGACCATCTTCAGGACATATTCATAAAACATGTCCATCGTCTTTTCATGTTGAATTAAATATAGTGTAATGTTAATTATGTTTTTGAATATGTCCTGAAGATGGTCTACTAGACCGAAACGTCCGACGTTGACATTATATTAACATTAAAACAGCATAATTGCATATTAGGATTTTTGTTTGTTTTTTTCCGTATATTTTCTTCATATATATATATATATATATATATATATATATATATATATATATATATATATATATATACGAGGTGTCCATAAAGTTCGTGTACACTAAAAAAAAAATTATAACTTTATTTGTATTTGCAATAGAAATAATTCATAAAAAGGATTAGAAATAAGTAAATCTATATTTTTTTAAGGTTTTATTAAAATTTTATTTAAGTTTCCACATGTCCTCCATCATTAGAAATACAAAGGGTAATACGATTTTGCAGTTCACGGAAAACATTTGCCAACTGATTTATAGCAATGCCTGGAATCACATTAGTTATTTTAGCTATACTTAAAACTAGGTACATTAAACTTTATAACATTTTTTACAGATTATTTCTATCGCAAATGCAAATAAAGATATACATTTTTTAATTGCACCACATCATTTTGTGCCATGAAAATTTTTGTGTTCATACAGACCTTCTCTATGTGTGACGGCATCAATGAAAGTGAATAAACTGAATCCAGCACACATACTTTTTATTACTGTATTACATATTCTTCATTTGTTCTTATTTTTTGATAGCTGGGGCGAGAAGACTTTCGGGCCACCCTGTACCTCTAAACTTGTCATCCTTATATCATATAATTTTCTATTTCAACGTTCTGTGGGGTTATTGCCAAGGAGAGAGTTTCACCTGAACGATACCGGAATACCCATCAGTTGAAGGACGCCGTTTGGAAAGCCTTTGTGACAATCAACAAATCACAGCTCCGTAAGATATCACACAAGACATGGCACCGCATCATTTTGTGTCACGAAAATGATGGTGTCCATGCAGACATTCTCGATGTGTGACAGTGTCAATGAAAGTAAATAAACTGAATTCAGTACATGTGCTTTGTATTGTTTTATTGTTCTCTTTATGTTTTGGTAGCGGATGGTGACAAGACTTTCGGACCAACCTGTATGTGCCATGTCCCTTCAGGAAGTTGGCGAGGATGACTCTCCACAACTTCCTCTCCTTTGGAGATCTTAGTAAAGTTTTCATTCTTTAACATTTACCAGTTGTTCACTTCATCTATGTCCTGTGTTTCTTTAGGACATTGTCGATCATGGCTCTCCACAACTTCCTGTCCTTTGGAGCTCTCAGTAAAGTTTTTCATTCTATAACATTTATCAGTCTTTCGCGTCTTCTATAGGGTGGTCCGAAAGTCTTGTCACCCCTAGGTGATATAATTTTTTTTTTTTTTCAGATGGCTGACAATTTTTATTTCAGATGTGTGACCAAGTAAATAAACTGAATCCAGTACATGTGCTTTGTATTACTGTATTAGTTGTTCTATTGTTCTCATTACTTTTCTGTAGTTACCTCCATGAGATCGCTAAAAAAAAGAGCATAGCATGAAGAAAAAGACGCCAAACTTGACGAAAACAAAATTTTATCGTCTAAATTTTTATGTTATTATTAAGAGGAAAGATCAAGGTATATTAGGGATATTTTTTTTTACATTTTTTAATCGTTCCTAGTGCGTCCGAAATTTTCGTTAAAAATTTTCTTTTTTTGAGTCACCAAAATTGACAGATAATCAATCATGTCAACCATTTTTTCCATTTCATAAAAAAATGAAAATCTCTGTTTCAAATTTTTTAAAAATCAATTATAATTTTTTTAAAAACTTAAGAAAATTAGAATTTATAGTGTTTATTTAAAATATTTTGAAACAAGTATTACTTAGTTTCTACGCCAAAAAGTAGTAGTTTGAAAATAAAACAAAGCAGGTCATAATATTTCGCGTCACTTGACAGGTGATGAGTAATGATTTCATCACGTATTGACAGCTTACGCAAGGAAAAGTTATCGTACGTATCAGACGTAACATAATTATTTAGATTTAAGTGAACAAATTATTTACCTCGTTATTTTTAAAGAAAACTTTCAGCGCTCTTTTTTTTTGTACTTAACTTTCACATTTACGTTTACGATGCTTTATGGAAAATATATTATAAAAAAATTAAAATAGAATGTTGAGAGTGAGATTAAATTTCATAAGAAAGGTATCTAATTAATTTATAGGTACATTCCTTATGAAGTTTTATCAGAAATATACATAAAATACTATAATTCCATGTACATTTATTACATTTTACTGTGTTATTTGTATTTCCATTCATTTTATTATTAATTTTGATATTTATTTCATTTATGGAAAAGTGTCATAACTGACATTAATATAAAAATAAGATCATATAAATTTCATAAGATGATACTAATACTTGTAGGTACCCTTCTCAGTTGAAATTGAAAAATCAAATGAACTTTCCCACACGTGTTTCGCAAAAATAAAGGCCCTAACAGAGGAGAACAATGCTTAACTCAAATAACGCGACTTAATTGTATTCTTGCTGGTCTTCCGGACTTTTTCATTACAGTCGTTTATAAACACAATATTGCATTTCTTAATTAGTGTGGGTCTTCTGATTGGTCGAAGCGATACAATTTACAATGCTGTAAAAAATGATCTATCTCATAATCCATTTACGAAACTGAATGCGGTTTTCAACTAATTTTATAATATTTTAACAACTTAAATGTAAAAATCTAAAATAATTAAAGAAATAAATAATTGTATTAAAAATTCATTTTTCATCGAAAAAGTTTTCTTTTTGTCCATATTCATAAAAACAACTAAAATCAAATAAAAGCATTTGAAATTAAATAATATATTTGTTTTATTGAGTTTTGTATGTTACAATTCAGAGCTGATTTTCAGGTGTGGGGGTGGTCAATTAAAAAATATGATTTGCTTTCCTTAAAGCCTTGTGCTTTTTAATATGATCACTAAACTGAACAATGTTGAATTTCTAGAGTTTTCATAAAATTATTTATGGGGGAGGGGTAATAAATATAAAAATATTTTTTGCCATCAGTTTAAAGAAAGAAATTTGCGAATAGTTTCTGAAAGTTTCATTAACATCCGACAATTATTTACTTTGTGTTCCGAAAGAAGAGACCACCCATTCGGGTTTTTGGGTGTTCAGCTTCTTCGAAGGACTACTTTTATGATTATCTAAAATCATTGATAATATTTTATGTTTGCCAATTCAAAGGCGGGCTGGAAATAGAAATCCTAAAAACTCTGACACTTAAGTTTACTCAAAGATGGACTGGAAACAAATTCCCTAAGAAACTCAGATAATTTAGTGGACTTAAAAAGGAAAAGAAATTTATCTACTCTTTCCTAAGGATGTGTTAAAAATAGTATTGTAACAAACACTTCAAGATATGAAAATTGTTATTTAGTCAATTTTGCTGGGGTTTTTTGCCACTCATAGAAAAAAAAATTAGTAAAATATAAACAGTAAAAAAAAAAGACAAAAATCACTAAAATAAAACAGTAAAATTTTTTTAAAAAGACAATAATCAGTAAAATAAAAACAGTAAAAAAGTTTTTTAAAAATCAGAAAAATAAAAACAATAAAAAAATTTAAAAAGACAAAAATCAGTAAAATAAAAACTAAAAAACGACAAAAATCAGTAAAAGAAATTTTTTAAAGACAAAAATCAATAAAATAAAAACAGTATTTTTTTTAAAAAGACAATAATTAGTAAAATAAAAACAGTAAAAGATTTTTTTTTTAAATCAGTAAAATAAAAACAGTAAAAAATTTTAAAAAGACAAAAATCAGTAAAATAAAACCAGTAAAAAATTTAGAAAACAAAAATCAGTAAAATGAAAACAGTAAAAATTATTTAAAAAGGCAAATATCAATAAAATAAAAGCAATCCTCTTGATTATAATCATTTGATATATTGTCTTACATAAAACATTAAAACACTGACTATACACCCTCTAAAGAGTATCTCGTTCATTCTGCCTTAGAAGATCTAGATCAGAACAAAAATGGAGTATTGCCTGTGCTAAAGCTGCCCAATCTTCACTTTCCAGTCTTGACAGAGTTTAAAAGCCTTTACGTGATCTTGCAGGTCATGAACAAATTTTCCCCTACAACTTCTCGTCCACAGACTTACATTATCGCTATTTCCATGACAAATGTTCTGACGAACTACATTGCCTATTTCCACTAAGCT